GCCCAAAATCCTCCAAATCCCTAAGAAGCCCGAAACAGCTTTCCTGCGAACAGGCATGGGACAAGGGAGGTCGCACTGCCATCCCATGACGGCTAACTTAAGCGTGATTTTGCTTCATGCTACTCGTATGCCAACCGGCTGCAGATTTCACCAGTGGGGTATGTGGCGCCTTGACAGGTTGGACGAAGGAGCTGGTGGCCCAGTCTATCGGGGTTTCATCGGTCCAGCCCCCTTCCTCTGAAGATTTTTTCCAAAGGAGCCGTGTGGGCTTTGTAGGGCTTCTGGAGGAGCATCGCAGTGGGCAGTCCCTCTTTCCGTCCACCGTGGAAGAATGCGGAAGACAAGCGAATTCATGCGAGAGTTGTCTCTTTGTTCAACGAGGCTGGCGCAGAACCCATGCTTTCCGCGCGACGGGGCCACCACAAGGCCGGAGCAGAGGTGAATCCACAGCGTAAAGGTTATGGTCTGCACCTGTAATTTTGTAATCTACGCGAATATGTCGCGATTTCACAAGCTTCGCTACACCGAGACTCAAGTTACCCAGTCCAGGAAGATCCATTGTTGTCAGGCGGTCAAGGGCTGCTTCGCCGGCACGTGATAGTTCGCAGGGCTCCCAAGAGAATTGATGCCTTTGTTTTTGTTGGCTATCAGGGCTCAGGGTTGAGCTACCAGGGTTGGGGTTCTCTATGCGCTTGTGTAGCTACATGGTCGATCCTCTCAGACTCAGGCCGCGTCGGCCACAGAACAGCAGCGTACAGGCAAGTTCGTCCTGAATGCGAATACTGTAGAGTGCGAATGGCTGCAAATAAAAATGAGAGCAACAACCCAATGTTCATGGTCATGCCCGTGTCATGGTCCTCGAAATCCGTGAAGGACCCGGGAACGGGGACAGGGAAGCAGCTCTGAAGCCATGCGCTCAGCGCATGCCGTCCTCAAAGCTGCGATTTCGCTGGACTGGGGGGCTGGCATCCTAGGAACGGCACTATCAGTGGATCGGGTTTAGCATAGACTCGCGAATGAAGGTCACTGGCAATCGCACTCTGGTTGTTGGAGTTGCAATTGGTCGTCTTTGGCCTCGAGCCCCAGCGAGACCCCCCGAAACCCGGTCCTCGTGCGTTTCACCGCGCCTACGCTCGGGTGATTCAATCAGCCCGTGCCGGGCCGCATGGCCGCAGGCCTTGTGCCGTGCTTCTCAAGCGCCAGGGCCTGAAGCACCTTTGACATCCTCGAGCATTAGAAGCCCCACGTTGCTTCGAGTTGCTCCGGTACCCCTGAACTTCTCGCGCCCAACCTGGGGGCCTAGCCGACTTGCTTAGCTGTTAAAGGGTTAAAGGCCCACCTTCTTTTGCTGCTGAGAAGTACGACCCGAAAGCTGTGGCCAGCGGCCCCGGAGTCGCTTTTGAAGGCCTTGCCTGCAAGGATCAGCTGCAGACCTTTAGCACCGGCCGTAAGTGAACCATACTTACATGGGGCCATCTGATCTGCTTGTCTAAGCCGGGCATACCATGGCAACACAGGCTGTAGCGTGGGAGCCCTTGCGGATCAAGATCTGAAAGGCTGTTCCTCGCAGGCGCAGCGCAAAAGACCTCCTGCTAGCGAACAGAAATACACACGTGCCCCACAGCAACTGTGCAAAGCGAGCTTCGACGGTGTGCGCTTAGACTTGCCGGTGAGTGGATACCTGGACACCGCCATCAAGCGAACGAAGAGGGGTGTCAGCCGAAGTCCCCCCTGGGCCCAGGGTCCTCTGCCTGGCTGAAGACAGCCCACCTCAGGTTGCGGAGCTTTGGGTTAGCGCTATGTTTTGGGTTCAGGGTTTGGGGTTCACGGCTCAACATTCACGGTTCAGGTCTTGTTTCACCTGAACCAGATGCTGGGGGTTCCACGGCCTGAAGACGTCATGGGGTCCCGTGGGGGATTAAGGTTCAGGGATTCAGGTGAGGTTGTCACGTGATCAAAGTTTGGGCTGGAGGCCAACCCCGGTCCGCAGCCGTTGCCAGCCTGAAGCATCCGCCTCGCCCTTTGCACATCCTTTCCGCCGTGGCGCCTAAGAAGGCAATCAAGGCACCGGTGCGATTGCGCTCTTGTTGCTAGAGCGGAGTGAGGGAAACAAAGAGAGAGAGAGAGAGAGAGTAGCCATTTTGGCTCAAGTCGCCCTGGGGGAACCCGCCCCTCCCTCGGTGGCTTGAGCCACGCTGCGCCGCATCTGTCAAGCCACTCAGCTTCCGTCTCGACCTTAACCCACTTCTTTGGGGGGTGTCGTTCAGGGACGCATGGACTGACGCTTGCAGGACTTCTAGGGGGTGCACCTTAAATCGGACGGAACCGAGGAGGCTCAGCACAGGTAGGGAGCAACAAAAAACTGTAACTGCTAGGCGCATGCCTTCATGCTTTCCAGGACCTTACGTTGCTCGCGTTACTTTCCAACAGTTCTAGCCAGCTCACTCGCAGCCATCCGGCGCGCCCGCGCCGGGGGGCATATCGCGACCACGACCGAGAGGACAGAGACTCATCGCCTACCCCATCCACAGACTCGTCGGAAAGCACGTCTTCCTCAACCACCAGCTCCGCCAGCGCCTCGAAGGACGAAGTGGGAGCAAGCCAAGGAAGCACCCCTGTGAAACACCATCGGGGAGGCAAATGGTTAACCAAGCAACATTGCCGTCGAGTACCCGCGTCACATCTACCACGATGCCGGCAACAAGTTCACCGGAAAGACCAGGCCCAGAGCAAAGGCCAGAATGCCATGTCAACGTCTACCGCAAACCAGCGAGACCAAGTCCAGAGTGGAAGCCACAATCCCCATGTGCAATACCATCGGGGAGAGCAAACACCCTAACCAGTACAAGCACGGGGAAAATCCGCTGGAGGAGAATCGCTCGCAGATCAGGTCCGTCGACTCGTGAGAGTGAAGCCGCGTTTCGTGCCACTGTACAAACCCTATAACAATCCACATCGCTCCGGCCTGCCGACCTGCAGGGGGAACAACTTTTCATAGGTACCTGGCCGCCTTGCTGCGGCGGGGGAGCCAAGAATCTTTAGCCCCAACCTGTAGCGGGCGCATTGGATAGACATCAAATCTCATGCCAGTTTGGGAAGGGGCCCAAATGAAGGGCGGACTCTGTCATCTCAGTCCTCACATGCACTGTGCATGTTTTTGCCCCACCCATGGCCCAAAAAAGGCCGCTTTTGAGAGACAGCCCAAGGTGGCGGCCCCCCCCCCCTTCTTGATCACTTTCGATCACCTTCTTCCGTGATTGGACTAATCCTGTTGGCACTGGGGGGGACGTGTCTACAAATTTCACCAACAGACCGTGGACTCTGCGCGCCCCTTGGGGCGGCTCTCCTCTTGGGGGGGAGCCATGCGTGTGGGAGGGAGAGAGGGAGAGGGAGAGAGAGAGAGAGAGAGATAGAGATATCTCTCCGGAACGAGAGAGCTTGAAAGAACCAAAGACAGACAGCAGAAGCCGGGGGTTGGGGGAGATTAGTTGGGGGCACTTGCACAGGCTATAGACACATCACTGCTTTCAAGACACCCGCAGAATATACGCAACACGAGGGAGCTCGCGGAGTGCGCGAAGGATCCTTGGTTTCTGATCTTGTATAAATGGCGTAACTATGAGACCCGCAGGTGAGCCAAAAGCCAATAGTCAGCCAAAGATCGCCGCAAGCGAGCTAAAGTGAGAGTCACAAGCGAGTGAGTGATGTGCCCTTCAGTCCAATCCACAAAATGATGAAAGTTTCGAGTTTCGAGGATACGATACGCCGCGCGCGCGAGAGTGTTGCATGTCTTGCGTATGTTCGAGGACAAACATTCAAAAAACGTGCCGTGAGGGAAGCGGCAGGATCTCCTGACCGCCCCGCCTGCTTGAAAACGACAGTTCTAAAGTCGTTGCGACTGCGACCGCATGACGGGAGCGAGGCTTAATTGTCACAAACGAGATCGCTCACAAGAAGTGGAAAAGCTTGAGGCTGTGAGCGCCGCGGGCTACCCCAGACTCCGGCTTGTCTAGTGAGTTTTAGTTGTAAGTCAGATCCGTTCTCGGTTGTTGATGCAGTACCAGTGCCAGGCAAACAAACGACTACAGATGAGAGTGGAGTTTGCGTCGACGATTATTTGCACACATGTGTCATGTGCTAGCAGCATGAGAACAAATGTTAGCGTCTATGTTAACACGCTCGTGATGCTTTGGTACAGGCAGCCTGTTTACTTCTCGCTGTTGATCCCAAACTCTTGAGAGTTTCGGACAGTTGGAGCGCTTGTTTTGGCATTTGTTGGTTCTAATCTGTGGCACTGAAGGCTATGAAGGCAGCGAAGTGAGCCGCATTTTGTCCTGTTGGATTTCTTGTGCAGCGTCAGCTGAGTAGGACGTTTCGCCAGGTCCATAGGACCTGAGCCCGCACTGCTCCAAGGGACGGACGGCACTTGCACAGAGAAAAAATATGAAAAAAGCAGCTACTGCATTACTGAATCCTAAGTCAAGCACAGGCCCTTCACTGATGTATTAACAATCCTTTACGACTCTCAGGTTTCGGGCTTTGATGCAAGTAAGCCCCAAGTGCAGAATCTATTCTTTGGCTAGTAGTTATGCGGCCCTCATTACAGGGAGTCCCATTGCCAATGCATCAGAACATGGGGTTGTGGGGTGTGGGAATGTCTCGAACCGACGCTTGTTTCGTTGCATGCAGCCTGTATTTTCCGATTTTCGCATCACAGCTTCATCCAGTACAGACCTTTGGAGCCTTGGCCTGCATTATGAAAGTCGTAAGGTTTGCTGCCAAACACCGATAGATCGCCACGACGGGTTCCAGCGGGGCCTAGGTGTTCGAGGCTTGAGCAGAATTGCCTGTCATTGTTGCGAAGGCCCGCAACAGCAAGTTCATTGCCTCTCATTGCCTTTCACTGCCTTTGACCCCAAAACCTTCGTGAGAACCTAGCCTTCAGGACCTTGACTTGGATCCCAAACCATCGCCCAGGATCAGCTGAACTTGCTCTCGGCATGCCGGCGCCCTACTTGGAAGAACCCCTATATGCCTTTTGGAAGAACGCCGGCGCTGGTGAGGAGCTTCACGGGTGGCGGGCGCGGGGTGACGTTTAGGGTGTTGAAATGGTCCAGGGCCTGGTCCATGGCATGCAAGGCATAGGGTTTCCTGAAGCCTGAACCTAAAACCAGCTGAAGGTTAAAGCAATCGGGCTAAAAGGTTGGATGTTCGGACCAACATTTATTGCAGGTACTTCCACAAATCTCGGTCTGAAGAAAACATGCCTTCGACTGAATGCTTTCAAATAGCCGTGACCCGCAAGCGTACATAGCTCCAGACAAAAAGCATCCTTATGAACTTGTGCTTGTGATAAGTCATGCAGCAGATATGACGGAGTCAAGCTCACCGATGAGGACACTGCAGAGACTCCCGGTATGCGCGTGGATGTCGAGACGCCGTGCGGCACTTTGGGTTTCAGAAAATATGGGGAGCGTGCAGCTTCGGAAGCACAACTTTTCTGCTTCAGCCGAACCCTCGATCAGGCAGCGAAACGTTCCTGAAACTCATGGTCCCTGTCTTTGTATAAGGAAGTACCGCATGAAGTACCGCTCCTACCGGCTCGGCTATGCTCAAGCGATGAACGGGCTCGCGGATGTCCTCAACGATGCAGCGGCCCGGCACAGTGTCCAGAGCACATCAAGCACATCACGTCAAGCGGACCACGCGCGCGCACGCTTAGCTTTCAGGCCTTCAGCTTCTCATGTCTATTTTCTACTGGGGAGGCCGGGCTTACCCCTGAGGAGAAGGACAGCACCCTCGAGTCCAAGCAGAAGATCATCAAAACCAGTCAAGCACCCGGCTCAGCCGAGAAGAGGTCCTGTCCAAAGTGTTGCTTCAGTCTTCGCTTCGGTTTTAAGACGGGCAGAAACGCTGCACCAGTGCATGTTGTGTGTCAAGGACAAGAAAGCCATCGACGCTCAGCCGAGACAGTATGAAAATGGTACTCCAAACAACTAAGAGTTCGCGATGTGCTCTGAGTTACGTTTTTGAGTTGGTCCCTGTTCACTGTGCTACTGCCCTGCTAGCTTGCAATGTTCTTTTCGTGAATGTTTTCCTTTCTCTCGGGCCCAGGAGGAGTGTGCAATAACGCGTGGCCTCTATGGGGAATGAGGTGAACGTTACTCGTGGCAGGTCCTCTTGACGTTTTGGCCAATGGCCCTCAGTCTCAGGACACTTCGCTGCCGATCGATGAGCCGCTCTTCCACCACCTCAGCGATGCTAAGCGTGCCGAGATCAACAAGTACCGCGAAGACTACCGCTACTCATCTGTGTTGAGTTGCCCTGTCCGGTCGTTGGCCTGAATCATGAATCCAGATCAAAAAACCACGCAATCCAGCGGTTTTTCTTTGAATCGGCCCATGCCTTCTGACTTCAACTCGACCCACGGGTTGAGATCTGAACCACAAAACGCCTTGAAGGCAAGTATCGCCTCGGCTATGCTTCTGGAGCCAGAGGCGAAGTTGCTGACCTCTTCAAGAGGCAGATTTCGGAGAAGGCAGGAAAGTGAAGGGGTTCAGAGGCAAAAGTGGAAGTGAACCCTGACAACATACAGCTCAAAGTAGCGAAAGTGGCATGCAGCTGCAGGGGACTCCTTGACAAGGACTCTCCAATGGAATGGACATCCCAGCATCCCGCTTTGACCACCCAGCAGCTCTCTTGGCGATGCTGATGCCCGTTAGCCCTCGATCCGCAAACACGCCAAAACCCAAAGGAGAATGTACTAAAAATCTGCAATCTGCCAAATCTCTGTAGGTTTTTTTTTTGCGTCAAAAAACGCGCCAAAACCCAAAGCAGAGCCTACTAAAAATCTGCCAAGTCTACAAAGTCGCATCTGAGCTTTCATTGGCAGGAGAGTGGTTACCAAGAGGTGCAGAAGATTTGCAAGGAGCATGTTGCAGTTTGCCGTGAGCCTACCTGAGGTGGCTCCAAGGTCCTAGGGCTGTAGGGTTGTGGGACCTAAGGCCCGAAGGAAGAAATGCTGTTGCTTTGTGCCTTTGTGGTCGCGTACCCCGATGTAATGCCAAAGGTTAGCTTTTAGATCCCCTAGAAAAATAGAGCAGCTCCATGATTCACGAAAGGCTTCAGGTCCTTCTCCAAGAGACCTTGCAAGGAGAAGATGTCTCAAGCCTCTGGCTCGCAGCTCATGTGCCCTTTGGTACAAAGAGATCTTGTTGGTTTCTTTTTGCATGATTTGACTCTAGCCTCTAGCTGTTTGACGACGTCACGTTCTCTTTGTGCTGTGCTCACTCCGGATTTTGTCAGAGGCTTGTATCAGTGGAGTATATAGAGCCAACCAATAGCAACAATCCTTTCGAACAAGGTGACGATGCCGACTCAGAAACGTGGCAGGATTTAGAAACTTGGCAGGATTTAGTATTCAGACAGAGATCGAGGAGAGAGGCGGTTTGAGGCATGTGTGCGCCTGGTCAATCCAGGCCGAAACACCGACTGACCATCCCGTGGCACTTCAGGGTGCTTCTGCAGACTACTGTTTGTTTCAAGTGGCTGGAAAAGAAGAGCTAGCAATACTTTGGGAATCATGTGGGGCTTAGGGCTTCCGAAGACCTAGCGTAGCCACGGAATCTAGGATGAGTCGAATCGCAGCACGGACACAACCCCAACGTCAAGCAAAGTAAAAGTACGGGTACTGTCCGTCAACATGATTGCCATTGTTGCCTTTGCAGAAAGCCGAAGGCTACGTGTAAGGCTCTTCAATCCAACTTTGAAAGTCTGGAAAATATGAACTAAGATGTCACTACGTGAAAACTGTCATGTACAAGTGTCCAACCCGGCAAAAGAACAGCACAATGGAATTCATCGGGGCTCTGCCCCGGCCACACCACAGACCCGAGAAGTTGCTGCCCGAGGGCATACAGAGCACATTGAGGTACCAGTACCAGGCCAGGACGCCGGCTAGTGAAGTTGTAGTTTTGCACGTCTGGACCTTCACTCTTGCATGGCCTAGGATCTTCTGCGTACAGTCAGCGAGCCAGCTGTGCCAAGCTGGCGACCACGGTCTTTGAAAGGCCCGATGTTGGCGACACACCACACACACAAGATGAACAAACTTCTGCTGACAACTGCTAGCTGCTAGTAGAAGTGGTTGGAAGCGAAGGAGTCACAGCGGGGCTGACTTTGACCCGAAAATACAGGATTCCCTTGTATGAGGACCCCAATAAGTTTCAACATGGTGCCTCTTTTTTTGGAAGCCCCCATTTTGCATGCCGGTGAAAGGCCTGAGCTCCACGTTTTCGGGTATCTTCTCCGATGAAGCTCGCCCGCAAATCTTGAAGGTGACGGTACAATCTTCATGTCTAACTCGGTAAGACATCATATCATTGTTTCTGGAACCCGCAATTCCCCAAACTCCAAACCTGGAGATCCCGATCGAAACCCCGAACCCTCCAACATGCAGACCTCAGCCTTCAACCATCCTGAACCTGCCTCCGGTCCTGAATGACCGTGCAAACAAGCGTGGCAGTGGGCGACTTGTGCTTTCCAAACCAGAAGGGCGGCATCTGCCAAGGCTTGTGACGAGTCCAACATGGACGCCAAATCCATGTTCTTCACGCTGCCGAAGTCCGTGTTGCTTTGTCCAATAGGGTGTCCGGAATAGTTCGGGGGAACGAATAGTGAATTGAAATGGGATGTTGAAGGCGAAGCACAGAAGGCCACTCGTACGAAGACACCAGCTGCAAGCCCAAGGTTGCCAGACCCGTCTGCCTCCTACATCCAGGCTGGGGAAATCAGATGGCGTGCATAGTGCAGAGATGGGGGGGCACCTTGTGATCAGTGGACGCAGTGGGGGCGCTCGAGCCGGGAGCCTCAGGTGCCCCAACTGCCGGATGGCTCCCTGCAGTTGGATGCCAGCCTCCTGCTGGCCAAGACGCCGCTGCCCAAGGCTCTGCGGAGTGCAATGGGGCACTTTCATATGTCCCAAAGAGCCTACATCTCGTTCGAAGGAGTGCTGTCACCTGCGCGGAACTGAGAGGTTGCTTATGCACAGCGTGCGCCGCAGGCCGCAGCTGAGTTCTCCTCCATCCACATCGTCCAGACGTCAGGCGCTAGGGATTTATAGGACGGCAATGATAGTGAAACCGCGAAGCTTAAAAGCCTTCGACGCTTAGAGTCTTCGAGCAGGTGCAGACGTACGATTCTCTAGCAAAGCTCCATCTTCTGGCTGAAACCTCGCACAGAGTCCATCAGTGAGAATTGAAAGGTGGATCATGTGCCATATTGTGCCGTAGACTGTTTGCAGTTGGGATTCAGAATTGGGGAATTCGGTTTCAGTAACTGCTTCGACCCAACGGCAGGCTTCCTGCAACAGTGCTTGTCTGTCTTGCACAGCGTAGAAGAGGCGTCGCCGCCAGAATTGCTGCAGCCCAAGTCAAGAACTCCGCTGCCAAGATCGGGAGCCTTGGATGGTAGGACTTGAAGCTATTTGAAGCTACATGAGCAGGCGATAGACAGCTTTTGCTTGGGGTCATAGGCGGGATGGTAGCTGCAGCAGGTTGTGGCCCCGCCTGTGAACCACCAAGTAGGCACCGTGCCTTTGAACGAAGCACTCTCAGGAAGCCGTGTGTCGTGCATGACTGGCCGACGATCCCAACTCATGATGCCAAAGCTGAGTACGACGAGACCTGCCCGCAGCTAGGGTTCTGCAGTTTTCTCCAGGCCATTCAATAGGTAGGCGAGGCGCAGCTCTCCCGGAGCTTGGCTTGAAACCTCAGTTCTTGAATACTTGACGTATTGTATGGTTCAACCTCCGCCCTGAAGCCATAACTAGGCTTTTCGGCTTGTGGGGGGAAGGCTGCTGTTCCTGTTCAAGTTTGTGACTTTACAAAATTCAGGGCTGCAGGTTCTCGGATTCTGGAGCAAGTCCAGGCGCTCTACGATGTGGGCAGCGACCTTATTCTGCAGGCCTGCGGTTGTGGGTTCGGCGGCTTAGAAGGTGTTAGTTTCATCTGGCCCAGTACCCGAACTCCATCAGCACGCAGCCCCGACTGTCCGAAATCCCATGAACTCCCTCGAAGACCGCAAGAAAGGATGTCGGAGTTGCCCCACACGCAAGGGCGCCAACCGGGCGACGCTGCTGGTCTTCATCGGCGCCGGCGAGCCCGGGGAGATGGCGCCACGCTGGCAGATAGGTCAGATAGGAGCTAAGCCGAAGTTGTTTGAGGGGATGAAAAGGTTTCGAGGGCTGTGGGGTTAAGGCTAAGAGGCTTTGTCGATGACCTGAAAGGTTTTAGGCCCCCAGATGATCTAGGGGGAAATTGGTCAGTTGCGTTTCTTAGAGGGTTCTGAAGTATGGCCCCTTGGCTTGGTTGTACAGTCGGTAGAAGAGCTACATAAGAGCTATCAGATGAAGTGTCCATACTACTCAGGGTTCTGGTCGTTATCCTAGGTCCTAGGAACTAAAGCACCTTCGGCGCTAAGGCGTTGGCGGTCATCTTGGCGATGTGTCTCGGAAATGTCAGTTCACCATGGTTGCCTCGGATGGAAGCCGCATTTAGAAGTTGTGGGCTGCGGGGCGTCAAACTTCGCACATCCTGGCCAGTTTACATCCCCTCCTGCTTGAACCTTGGCAATCCCTCCTCTGGCTGAACACCATGTGCGTGCCCGAAACAGGGGCTCTGAAAAGGCAAGCCCTCGTGCAACTCTGACTCCCGAGCACCCACCTTGAACTTGAAACCCGGCACATGATGCCTTTGCCTTCACCGACCCTGGAGCTGTACGTAGCCTAACCAGTCTGCTTACAGAAATGTTCACTGAGGCTGCCCTTCCGCCTGGGCCCTAGAGCGACAGTGTACAGGGGCAGGGTTTGCAGTTCGGACTTACAGTGCAACATGTGCGACTGCCTGCTGTAGCTATTCTAGCAGAATGCCTTCTGTTGCATTCGCCATGTAAGAGGCCATCACTGACGAAGAACTTCGAAAGCGCATTCTTGAAGCGGAAGGGGCGCCAAACATTGCGTGCCAGGTGGCGTCCAGCTCGCATACGTCACGCCTGCGCAGGACAGCATGTGGGTGAATTGAAGTGATCGCCTAGCGAGAGAGCAGCCGAAGTTTTGGGCTACATGGCCACAAGGTGCCACACCTTGAGAGCAGCTGCGGATGGATATGCTGCTCGCAGGACTACGAGAACCCCCTGCAGACTCTTAAGTCTCCGTCTGGCGTCTTTGAGTACACTGCAACACAGCCGGAGCGCATGGGGAGAGTGTCTCTTGCCGCGATCTTTGGTCCGAGCCCTAGCAGCTAAATCGACATGCTAGCTTTCATAAAGAAGGCAGAACAGGAGGCTGTGATACTGTTGCCAGAAGCCCGGGGGTTGAACGGTTGAACACGCATCCATCCCCCCATTTATCCATGTTTAGCTTGCCTCTGCAAAGACAACATGGAGGAAGTGTAATGGTCTCCCTGGCACAAAGATGCAAAGAAGCCGTCTCGAAGCAGGACATTCACACAATTAGCTGTCAAACAGGCCTAGGGATAGGGCTTGGGTCCGAAGTCGTCCGAAACACAACCGAAATCCTCCAAAAACCCCCCCCATCCGGCGCTAGATGCACACGAGCGTGGCAGAGTTGCGCGCCCCGAGGTCCGCTGGCTCCTCGCACCTTCAAGGAGCCTCTGACGACGTGGTCGCCGCTCCGCGGCCTCCCCAGTTCTAAAGACACAGGGCCAGCTTAGTGAAAGCTTTGATGGGGGTCTCTGAATTCTCCCCACGAAGAATTTCAACATCTGCACAGAGGCCCAGAGTCGCACCCGCAAGAGCAGCCGGCACCCTTCAAGATTGGTGGCCTGGACCTGCCCATGGCCCGGGGGCCCAAAGACTGAAGGCCATAACTAGGGAGTTTGAGAGAAGGGGCAGCTTGGTATCCGATGCCAGTTGTAAGGTTTGGGGGTTCTGGGCCAAGGCAAAGTGGTTTCAAAAGGGCATTGGGAATTTCATGCAGCGCTTTGCTGCAAATGTTCCTAGAAGATTTGGATCAGTCGTCAATGTTCCAAGGACATGTGCAAGGTCCTAGATTATACGTAAACATGTGCGAAAGGCCCTGTGTGGGTAAACCGGAAATATGGAATAATACGGAGCCCTGGGCCCAAGGTCACCTTCGAAGGGGACTACGCCCAGGGCGTCGAGCGGCTCGCCAGCCTCATGGTGGGACACTACGGCAGCGACATCTATCCCGTGGTCTCCGTCGGTTCCTGGGCCTTTCATATTGGGTATAGGGCACGCCTCTTTAGGCATCCACAAGGGGGTCGTCCTCCCGCAAAGAAAAGACACTGGTTCAGAGCGGCATTTTGTTTTTTTCTCCAGGTTCTTCGGGGTTTCAGGGTTCGATGGTGTTGGGCCTTCGGTGTAGATCTTTTTGGTGTAGTGAGAGTCGGCTCGGGTTTCCCCATGAAGAAAGTTTCTTAGATTCTTAGCTGCGTCGGAGGGTCTCGGCTGGCTTTGGGTGTTTTTGCGTTGATTGTGAGATCAACTTCCTCATAGGTTTAGGGTTTCGGGGTTTAGGGTTTAGGGCCGGGATAGCTGGCCGTTCTCAAAATGGCCCTCCAGGTGAGACAGGCGATGCTCTCGGCTACGGCTCGGACCTTAGACTATCGTACAAGTCGCTACAGGGCGTGTTGGAGGAGGTTCATCCCAAGAAAGCATGGGGAGCATTCTTTCTGTAGGACAGCCGTAGTCACATGCAGTTTCAGGCGACGACCTGCTCGGCGCTCTTGCCGAGCTGGACCGCTGGTTGGTTAGGGCTTTGCCTCCAGCTTCGCATTTGCTCGGTTGGCTACTTTGCACGGATGTTCTCTTCACGTTGCAGCTCGATAGCTTGGGATTCCAAGGATCCAAGGCGTTAACCAGCCCTGCAACCGCAAACCCTGTCCCTGAATCTTGAACCTGCGAAGCCCTAAGAGCAAGCATAGGCTAACCCCACACCTCACATCCCATACTCCCCCCTATGCTTTGACCCCAATTCTCTAACCACCTAATAAACCGACCTTCCTGATACAACCTAAACCAAAAGCACTACCTACATCCACCACCTTACCACAATCCTGACCCACAAAAACCGAAAGCATAGGCTAACCCCACATCTTATGCCATATACCCTCCCCCCCCCTACACTTTCACCCCCATTTCTCAACCCGCCTAAGATTTCAACCCTTAAATCCGCAAAACACAAAGCACCTCCCAAAACCAATGCAATAATCCCGAAAACAAAGCAACCCACCAAAACCAATACAATAATCCAAAACACAATCCAAAACCCAAAGCACCTAAACAAATCCTACCCTCAACCATTCTATAACCAATGTCCTAACATGAGGTGTGGGGTAAGACCCTCATCTGAAAAACCCCCAAAAGATTATAACCCCGAACTGGGAACTGCTACAACATAGAATTTTACAAAACTTATTTACTAAACGAGTAAATAAGTTTTCTAACATAGAATTTACACTAATTATTAAGACATAATTGGTGTAAATTGAATTTTACTAAAATTAATTAGTAAAATGCTATTTACGCTTATCCGTTCATTATAGTTCATTATCGTATAAAGTTTTGCCATTCTTTTTGGTTCTTTGTTTTCTTTGTTTCTCTCCTCCTCTCGTCTCATAATATCTACTGTTCTTCCGTCCAGAGTTTCAACAAATAGTTTTCCATTCCTTACATAAGTCGTCATCATACAGCTTTCAATCTATGGTATGTTGTCGGTTAATGTATTCATAACTTCATTCTTTACCAAGTTCAGGTCACTATTGATTTTGGTTATTTCCTGTTCGTTTGTATATCCGGATGCTTGTGCCATTAATATATAAGTTCTCAATTCTTTAAATATTTTATGTAAAATATGGTTTTTGAAAAATACAGTATCTAATATGCTCTCTCTTGGTCATTGAACTTAATCTCATAATATTCTAATGTCTCTTTCTTCGGATACTTAATATCCTTGTTATTCAGTTTATTAACATATACGCTTCTCTTATTCTTATAAACATCACTATCTTTATCCATTGTTTTTTTAACTGGTTTAGGTTTATTCATTAATTCATCAATCTTTTTCTCAATGAGTTCTAACTTCTCTAAAATCTTCTGACTGCTAATGCGCTTGATTGGTTTTACAACATCATCTACATCGCTCATATTATATAAAAGTTTTAGATTAAAACTTTTTTAAAAGTGTTTAAAAACTTTGTGTTTAAAACATATATAAGGACTTGATTTTTCCTTGTAAGATACAGGGTCTCTTAGAAAACCACTGGTTTTGTATCGGGCCTTGTGGGCAGCGACAAGCGAATGCCCGTTGGATTCCTGATTTCCTTTCCCCAGTCTGACTCTTGTTCTCTCCATCTCTCTCTTCATCGATCCTCAGACATGTCGCTAATTCAGCCACTTCGACGCTCGTGAGGCTTAGAAGTAAGTGTCGGTAAAAAAATGTATCGGCTCATACTATCTAAGCACCTTCTACATATTTTATTGTATTCTTTGTTCTTGTTATGGCTCTTGAATAGTTCTATACTTTTACATATCTTACAATGCGGACAGTATCTTATATCATTTATTCCATAATGACAATCATTATCATCAGTAGCAAAGAATGACACCACAATTTTATCAACATAAATACACATTTTACTTATAATCTAACATAGATTATAAGTAAAAGCACTCTTCCAAACCAATTACACACTTGCTTATGAATTGCGATTGAATGTATCGCAATACGTCGCGAATGCTTCGCGAGGACTTCTGTCCGAAGCATCCCTTTCTCGCGTTCATCCAATCAATGCATGGGCATGGGCACTGATTTTTTCCAGACGGGGTGTTTGTTCCTGTTTCACAAAGACTATACACTGTCAAAATATATTAGAAAATTATTTTTAAATATTAGTTTTTAAATATTAATCCAAACTGTTTAATTTACTTTGCTCCTTAATGTCATCAATGTCTTTTTTAATTTCCTCTACATCTGTCTCTAATTTAAATATCCTTTCTTGGTTTTCTTCGGGTGTTGGTTTTCTTCCCGCCGACCACCCTGTCGTGCAATCCTCAATGCTTCCTGCCTGTAATGTATTCTCAGGTTTAAATATTTCGTCTGGACTTTGATGTCTTCCACGGCCACCAATTTTAAAATTACTTCTATCTTCAATGGTGTTAGTCATTATAATTCCATTGTCTTTTACTGCTTTGCTTTCTTTTTGATAAAACTGCCTTTTACATCTACACGGAATGCATGAAATACCCTTTCTATCTATATGTAATCCTTTTTGGTTGTCGCTGTTAGGTTCTGATGTTTCGCTCATTTATCTTAATTAGGTTTTAATTTCATATACATGAATAACACTTTAACCAAATCCAATAAACTATGACAGCACCTGCGATATTTAGGTGGCATTATTATTTCCTTTATCTTCTCTATCTCGTCTAAAACTTCTAAATAATTTTCACAATCGTTCATATATTAATAACGATATATTTTTCTATGTATTAATAACTAACGTCAGATATTCCAATAGTTGAACCTATTAATGTTAAAGAAGATGATTTTAAACAATCTAAATACGAAGTAGCGCCTAAACTACCATTTTCACAAATATAATTGGTCCTTCCGGTTCAGGAAAAGGAATATTACTACAATCAATGATATTAGATATTTACAGAGGCGTCTTTGAAAGAATTTATATTTGGTCTCCTTCAATATCAGTTGATAGTAATTGGACACCCGTTAGTAATTGGACACCGGTTAAAAAATGCATCCAAGACGAGTTGAAGGTTGATTTAGAAAAGGAAAAGTGCTTATTTGATGAATATATACCAGAAGAATTAGACCAGGTGATAAACAGACAGCATAAAGTAATAGAATACCAGAAGAAGAACGACCACAAAAAAGTTATTTTCAATCCTGATTATTGTTGATGACTTCGCTGATAGTAAAGCATTTTCAAAAAACTCACCTTTGTTAAATCAAGTGTATGTTAGAGGGAGACATAACGCAATCAATACCATAACAAGCACACAAAAACTCAACGCTTTAAGTCCTATCATTCGTGTCAATAGTCGTCAGTTATTCTTTTTCGGGTTAAGAAACTACAAAGAAATTGAAACAATGGTTGAAGAGTTAAGCGCGGTATTGATTAAGAAGTCGTCCGTGGCAGACGCTAAAAACTTAGCAGAAGCAAAGAAACTAATGTTAGAAGTGTATAATTTAGCAACGGAAGAACCATATAGTTTTTTGTTTATAAACTTAATGAAAGCAGATGTAAATGATATGTTTTATAAACGCTTTGACGCTAAATTGGTGATTGATGAGAAAATTTTAATTATAATGATGATTTATGATTAAAATTTATTCAATCAATGAATAACTACATAAATTTATAGCGGGTAGTTTATACATTATTTTATCTGATTTGTTTTCTTTTACTTCTTTCAATTCTTTTAACATTTCTTTTAATACTTTAATCTGCAATCTATCAATATTACTTAGGTCTAACTCATCTTCATTAATATTACTTATTTCATTAATACAATTATTTTCATTATCACCTTTAGAAACTCTACCACCCATTATATATTTATTTACATATTTTTATGTTGATTTTGCTTTTGGTTTAGGTTCTTCATCTTTTTTCAACTTCTTTACTTTTTTCTTTAAATCTTCTACCTCTTTCATTAATTCTTTAGCTGCACCCCATAATACGACACTCATTTTATTATATGCTAATAATTTATGGTTGTCTTCACCGTAATATATAATATTGTCCCATTCTTTCGGTAGTTTAGCATCTTTTACATCATCAGCTATAAAACCCAAATTACTTTTCTTGTCTTCATCTTTAACTAAATTATATGTTTTCGGTTTAATATATTTAACTACTTCATAACATTTTTTTGTTATTTATTTCTTTAATGTTTTCTTTTAATTTAATATCAGATGTTTCTACTAGTGCTACACAAGTGCAAGTTCCATTAATGTCTGCGTTTCCTGTTGTTGTTAAAGCACCATAAATTAAACATCAACACCTGTTGTTGTAGCATCCAATCTTGATAATCCACCATTACTTAATCTAATCCATCCGTCATTATCAGGATTGCTGATTGTTGTTTTTTGTTTCCCTGCGTCGTCAATGTGTGTTATTTCAAGATTACCTAATAAATTTGCTTTTCCATCCGTTAATTGAATTTCCGGTGTGCTATTTTCTAAACCAATTGTTAAATTCATTTCTCCTAACGCGTCGCCATTTCTAACATACATTTTGTATTGAGTGTCTAATACTTCTCTAATTTCACCGCTATTTTGTAATTTAAATTTACCCCAACTAAGAACATCCGCCTCACCAACGATATTACCAATACTGTTAAAAGTCTGGTTATTTACGACTGCTCTGTTTAATGTAATGCCGTTAGTATCATTTAATTGTAATGCTATGGTTGAAGTAGTCGGGTCGGTTGTTCTATTTGATTGCAATGAAAAGTTAATCTCTTCTGTTGATATTACATTTAACGAATTATTAGCGTCTGCTCTTTGAAATATTCTACCCGAGTTATTAATATAAATATCTGCATTTAATGTTGATGTGCTTTGAAATGATGCTGTGCTTCCAAAATTAGCATTGCCACCTGATACGTTAAATTTATTAGACCCTTGTAAACCACCAATGCCTAAACTTAAACAATAAACACCATCGCCATTAGCAGTATTTAGTAAAAGTAATGACGAACATTAGAAGCATCCGTAGTATCTTTGTAAAATGTAATTCCTGAGTTATTAGAAATATTTAAAGTGTCGTTTTCATAATTTATAGTATCCTTAAAACATGTTTGCTTGAATAATGTTGTCCCTCCTGTTGCATTGTTGCATTCTAAATAAGTATTAGTATCTACGTCTGTTGATGCTCCTAACGTCATTATCGTTGCTTCTTGGTCTGTTCGTAAACCCATTGATACATTTGATTTAGTAGCGTTACTTTATCTTTCTATACTTGTATTAGCGTCTGTTAATTCAATATTTCCACCGATATTAATATTATTTGTTAAATTAATGCCGTTTGCTGTTAAATTAGTTAATGATAAATCATTAGTAATATTCACATTCCCCGACGGGTTTAATTCTAAATTTACAACACTATCATCAGATGTAGCATGTGTATCCACCTCACCTTTATTATAACAGTTTGTTCTAATAATGTATTATTTTGATAATTCGTTGATAAATTTGTATCTATTTGTGTAGATGTATAATAATTAGTAAGAGTCGTGTCTATTTCTGTTTTGTTGTAAAAATTAGTTGCTAAAACTGTGTTTGTTTGATATTCAGTATCTAATAAGTGTGTTAATGTTGCTATGTTTGAAGAGTTTGCTGTGTTGATGTCCCCTGATTCTGTTTTCGTTGCGTATAATAAAGAAATGTCTGTTCCGCTTACAATAACATTATCTGCTGTTAATGTATTTGTATTGTTTAATGTTAGTGTCATTATATTAATAAAATAGATATTTATATTAATATAATTAATTTTTGTTTTGTTGATTTAGATATGCTTGATGCTTCTTTGTCCCTCAATGTTCTTTCCAGTTACTCACTGTAGAACCACATATACAATCAATCTTTTGCTTGTTGTGAACTTTTCAGGGTTGCTTTTATAATAGTTTGCTAAATAATATCTTCGTTCTTCTCTGTTTTCTTCAACCCATTCTTTCTTTGACCTCCCCGCTATGCTCGTTTTTAAAGTTCCTTTCTCTCTGATGTATTCCCCTTCTTTTTTACGCAGTTGTTCAATATTCTCAACGGGGCATTCTTCTAACAATTCAATGTCAAATTTATCATTACCTAACTCTCTCATTTTCTCATATAACTTACTCTTTCGTGTCTCTTGTCTCATATCTTCTCTATGTTTGCTCATTCTCTTGCTTAATCTTGATACAGTAGAACCAACATAAGTATCGTCATCAACTATGTTTCTGATTATATAGATTTTAGCGTTGTTATGCGATTTGCCCATTCTTTGCTCTATATTATTGTTAATCACCTTGTCTTTATGCCACTTTTTCCTTAAAATGTCTCAAAATCAGTCTGGTGTTGTGTTGGGAGGTGGCTTCGGTTTGGATGGTTTTGAAGGCTTGATTTAGGATACTGTTCGGGAATGTTTAGTTTTTTGATATGGGTTTGGGTAGTTGCTTTGGTTTTGGGTTGTGTTTTGGATTGTTGTATTGGTTGGTGGGTTGCTTTGTTTTCGGGATTGTTGCATTGGTTTTGGGAGGTGCTTTGTGTTTTGCGGGATTTAAGGGTTGAGTTGTTAGGCGGTTTCAGAAATGGGGTGAAAGCGTAGGGGGGGGTATAGGGTATGAGGTGTGGGGGAAGGAGGTTGTTATGATTTTGTTCTGTGTTTTGTGCTTGGATGTAGTGTGGGGAGGTGCTTTGTGTTCGGGTTGTGTTATGGATTATCTTTTTGGATTTGGCGGATTGCTTTGGTTTGTGGTTGTGTTATGGATTATTGCATTGGTTTTGGGAGGTGCTTTGTGTTTTGGATTGTATTTGGGATTTCGGCATGGGATTTGGGAGGTGCTTTGTGTATTGTGGTTTTGAGAGGTTGATTTGGTAGGCGGGTTGAGAATTGAGGTAAAAGCGTAGGGGAGAGTATAGGATGTGAGGTGTGGGGTTAGCTGGTTCTTTCGGTTTTTGTGGGTCAGGATTGTGGTAAGGTGGTGGATGTAGGTAGTGCTTTTGGTTTGGGTTGTATCAGGAAGGTCGGTTTATTAGGTGGTTAGAGAATTGGGGTCAAAGCATAGGGGGGAGTATGGGATGTGAGGTGTGGGGTTAGCCTATGCTTGCTCTAAGGCCTCCAAAAAACAAGCCAGGACTGCCCTGGATTCTACTTCCCGCACGCCTCGGGCGAGACGTGCAAGAGTCCAGAGGACCGGTACTGCAGTCCGCGCACGGGGGAGTTTCTTTCTGGTTTAGGCTCTTTTTCTCTTGGAAATTTGGCCTCATTTTTTCGAGTTGCGTCCTGGCTATGGGTTTTCTTTCAGATTTGGGCTCTTGCATCTCCAACATTGCGAGTTGAAGAGTTTGAAACCTAAAGCTACCAGAAGCACCCTCGAAAACGTGTCTTGTCTATCTCCGAGGCCTACGGCAAGGTAGAGCTTCTGAAGGCCAGCTGCGCGTTGGGACGCGTGTAGCGGCGTGCCAGAGGATTGGAGTTTCCCATCGCTTCACTTCGAGTTTAGGACCTGGATCTAGGACCCAAGGCACAGGATGTGGGATGCAAGTCATGATCCAGTGAGCCTGGCTACCATGCGTTCCGAACTGGTGAGGCCATCGGCGCAGCAAAGCAGAGCAACAAGAAGGTCGTGGTCATTGCGGCATCTCGCCTTGCGTAGCCTCCCCACCCCCTCACCCCGGTTCTTCCAATATCCTTAATTGGGTTGCTGGCTGTGCAGAGCGGGCCGGGTGACACGTGACAGGGCCATTGACAAATTGACCAGATCTGAGAGGCGATGGTGTTAAGGGTGGTACGCTGCATCAGAGGCACTTTCAGCGTCTTGCGCCCACTGTAAAACCCACGCTGAGGTGGGAGGTGGTGTAAACGGCAACGCAACTGGAATGATTGCCGCAGCTTGGACCGCAAGATGTCTGGGTGCAGTCCGGCGCTTCGCGAAAGGAGATGCACGGCTAGTTGGTTCGGAGAATGAGCTAGAGATCATGCTGGAAGCGTTGCAAGGGACTACTTCAAGCTTCGGGTTTTAGAGATTGGGTTCCCTGACAAGTCCCCCCTGAGACTGTGACAAGCTGTTGAGCACTGTAGAGGCCATGACCGGATCGGTCTTCGTCGAGGTCCCGACCACCTTGATGCACTACAACGATGCTACGACCTCCGCAAAGAAGGCCTTCAGCCGCTCAGCTGAGCCGCGTTGATTAAGACGTTGACTGAAGACATAGTGACAGCTTTCTGGCCAGATCGAAAGGAGCCAACCTGTTGAGACCTGAGACTGGAAGGCCAAAGCTTTGTAGTTCTCTTGTAGGGGAGTCCTCTTGTCAGCAACCATCATACAGTTCTATACTCTGACGTTTCTAGAATGGGCCACCCTCACACCAGGGCTCAAAGCAGATGCAGAGATTCAAGTAGTTCGCTAGGTCCTGGTGATTTGGCTTGCCCTTCTAAGCACTCTCTACCGCACCGTCTGTGCTCGATTGACATAGGCTCCCAGCAAGATGTTCACCCTTCTGCTTCTTTCGTGACCAGACCGTTTTGGGGGGGGGGGGGCTTTGTTGGGAAATATTTGTTCCCTTATTGCCACCCCCTTCTTCATTCCGAGCGCCCAAGGCCTGGTAGTGAATGGGCAGCCGCCTTGATGCAGTTGGGAGTTAGGATGTGGGCACGTTATATAGTCGGGTTTCATTCTTGTGGGTTTCAAGAGTGCCCCTCCGACGCCACTCGAAACTGCCTAGGATCCTGTCCAAGAATATCCTGGGCACTTTCTACCTCCCTCAGCTGGTCTTCTGCATCAGCGAGACCTTCCTCACTCTGCTCCTTGGTCTGAGATCGTCCCAGAGGATGGACATGGGATTCTCCACAGCCTGACTCTGGATGTGGCTGATGCGATCCCGTTTCGCGCACGATAATTCATCTCTGGGGGGGACCTGGGAAGGTTTTGGGGCATTTCTGGAGTACTCTTCAACAATGCTTGAATTTCGACAGATTCGGTGCATTGCAGGGCAGGGCATACAAGAGTGAGGTCCAAGTGCAGTGTGCACGCCGCGGTGGGTGAGGCCTGCAAGACGCAACTTGGCTGCGATCGATGCCTGACCGAGTCTTCATTCCTGCTGAGGCTTCCAGTTTTGAGGGAGCTCGGAGCTTTCTGGCCAAAGTTCTTGGGATTGTAGTGCTGCGTTGCAAAGCTTAGTGTGTCTGTGTGTGTGTGTGAGAGAACTGTTCTCACGACCTCGACGGTTAGAGTGTTTGTTCAAGATTGCGTTCCACAGCGAAGTAGGGCAAAGAAGTGGTCGCACATGACTTTCATGGTGAACTCAGTTGTGCTGGGCACTGGGGATCTGCTCGGGTATGACTGCGACCCTTTATGTGCTGGACCATCGTTGGGGTCTTTAAGAGTAGCACAGCCTACAAAGAGCGAGGAATAAGTCATGAGAACCCTAAAAATTTCTCTCTATACCTTATAAATGACAACAAAAAGTGGAAGATGGGCTGAGGATGGGCATGCTGGGCATCGCGAACTCCAAGACTGGCCAGGAAGACTGGCACAACATCCTGGGCGGTGTGGAGTTCACTCGACCGCAGTTTTTAACTATCACGTGTTTCTTGGGAGTCCTGCGTCTAGGAGTCCAGGCTCCGGCCTCAGGACTTAGTACATGTTAGGGTGATATTTTTTCTCTGAAGCCTTGGGATAAACTGACCTGAGATCAGTTCGGGCTTCAGCTTCAGGCGTCAAGGTATAAAGACATGTTTGCTGGGATCCCGGCCCCCCAACAGCATCTCGCGACCCGGTATCGCATAGCCTCACACCTTTATTGCCCATTCTTCTGATGACGGAGTAGCAGACGAGGTTCGCCAGTGACTTCACCAAGATTATTGAGACAGTTGGAGGCTGGGCTTTGGAGGATTGGGGTCCTGTGCTGAGATCCGGGCGGTTCCTGCAGGCAAGGTATGTAACAGTTAGTTGAATGCCGCCGAGTCCCACTCGAACGGTTTTGAAGACATCTACTTCATTAAAACAGGATTTGTTTTCGGGGCATCTCTTGCAGCGCATCGTTTTCCTCCGGGCTGCTACCCTCAACAGCAGTTTGCGAAGCGTCGCGCAAGCCAGCAGGCAATAATTCTTGAGTCCTGCGTGGCAACTTTGCATACAAGGGTCCGCTTCGGAAATTCCTTGTCAGCGTGTGTTGGAACATGCAACCGGCTGCATCCGTCTGGAACGCCAACTAGTAGGAGAATGGCGGGGAAGGAGGATGCTATGTTGCGTTATGTCGGCTCAACTAGCTGGTGGCAACAGAGCAGATCGCTACAGTAGGCGCAGACACGGCGCGCAGACCCATATGACATGTTTAAACAAGCATCTGGAGACTCTTCTACTCCTTGCAGACAGACCACTGCAACCCCATCAGCTTCACTTCTCCAGCAAGTTCATCTCTGACGGCTTGATGCCTGTTACCTCTCATAAGTCGACACAAGTAACCCTTGAAGTTTCGTCTACAGCGCAGTCCTGAAAGAATCCGTCGATTCCGAGGCTCCTCAGCCCTGCCTTGGCCCTGCCTTGCTGGAATCTGGAAGGATGGTCAGCGAGACAAAGTTCAACTCACTGATCGGGTTCCTTCGATTAGGTGATCTTTTAGGGCTGCAGAAGTTCATCCCAGTCGATTTCGACTGGACTCACCGAGGTGGGCCAGAAGACATAACCCTGTTGCACTATGCAGTCTTGTGCTTGGGTGAGGATGAACCTGGTGAGAATCATCTGAAGGTCATGGAGTGGATGCTTCGGTCTGGCGCCGATCCAGAGCACGAGCTTCCCAACAAGCACCCTCAATGCTACTTGATCTGGAAGAAGAAGAACAAGAGAGGAACAACAATCGAGATCCCCTATGCCGGTCACTCAGCAACGTCACTGGCTTTCGCCTGGCTTGATGCTCTTGAGGCAAGCGAAGAGGAATGGACGGTCGAGCGCGACTATCTCAAAAAGGTCGTGTCCCTCATTGCAAGAGCACCCTCCCGACAGCGCAAGACGGTCGCGGTAGCTGAAGGCGTTGTGGACTTGTGGGAGGCTGTCCTAGACATGTCCACAACGCACAATGTGACCTTCGAAACTGCAGACGGCACAGTCACTGCACACGACCACGTGCTTATGGCGTCCTCGCCTGTCTTGGAAGCCATGCTACAGTCTGCGATGAACCTTGGGTGCTCTGTTTTGTACTCTTTTTGTCCGTAAGCTTGTGTATACTCGCTTGGCCGCAGCACTGTTGCTGAGCATCTCAAGAACGAAGGAAGGAAGGTGTCCACAAGCGCATCTCAGTTACAGATTCCTCGCAAGTGAGTGTGTCTCTCTTCCTGGAGGTGCTGTACACTAGTTCGATGAGAGGAAGTCCAAGCCACCAAACCATGCTTGCTGCCTTGGACCTGGCGCATCGCTGGCAAGTCAACACCGTGGTGCATCAACTTTCCGATGTTCTGCAAGAGATGATTACGGTGGAGAGTTTCGTGGTTATTGCGGCGGCTGCCCAGCTCAAAGGGCTCAGCTCACTGTCTCGGGCTTGCTACAGCTTTGGTACAAAATCTTCCCAAATCCAGGGCATGTTGAAAAAGGGCAACCTTCCTTCCGCTGTGCGAAATCTCTTGGGCCAGCCAGATGCAGCAAAGTCAGCAGAAGCAGCCAAGAAGAAACGACGAATTGTTTAATTTTCCTTGGGACATAGTCTCTTTTTGTACATTGTTGTCCGTGTCAGGATTGTGCTTAATTAAGCTGCACACCCTCTGCGAATGTTCTTGCCGCATTCTTGCCCGCCAGCATGAAATTAAACAGATGCGGCTTCTGAGCAGTCTGGTCAGATTCTCTTCAAGATCTGATCCCACACCGTGATTAGAGATGCCTTTCACCCCTCCCCCCTGCAAAGGCGCTCCAACCCCTCAACTGCTCAGCCCCAGTGCATGTCATTGTACATGCCGAGGGTTTCGAAATCGCCGGGCTGCTTTCCTAAGCCACGCCATGTCATGCAACAGGGAATCCCTGAATTTTGTGTGGCTCATGCGACTGATCCATGGCTGGGTTTGTGGAGCTGGCGTGTAGGACTCCCTGGTGGAGTGTTGGAGGGGATTTGGGGTCTACAGTTTAGACATGTTTAGACTCTTTAGATGGTTCTGATTTCGTTAGGGTCGATGCGTTGCACATGTCACACGGACTGGTTGTTCGCCAGGCTTCGAGAAGCTCATTCAGTTCCTCGAGAATACCCGCGAGCTGAAGGCAAAGGCGTTGGCCTTGGGAGAGGACAGCTACTGAGCAGCTAAGGCGAGAGGCAATTCAGGTAGCTGGCCGCCTACTTGGTTTATTTTCTGAATCCATCTCGTTTGTATTGGTACATGGCGATGAACTCTTGTGGGCCAGCGGAGTGCTCCTAGAACTGCCCCCTGAGCTGCAAAACCCTGAACCTGCGTGAGGAGCTCAGTGGCATGCGCATGGAGCGAGCTTCCTTTGGACAGATGGCCAACGTCGCAAAGCACAGGGAGCCCACAGCACAATTTGCAGTCTCGGGGCCATCCGAAGTTTAATTGAAGGGGGGGGTGCTGGGCTGATTCTGCAGCGCGATCATTCTCCAGGACGTTGTGTGGGGTACTTTACAGCTCTACTTGCAACAGCTTGAAACTAGCCATGAGCCTCCAAAACCTCAAACTCCACCCTTGAGCCGCCTCGCCTGAAACGCCTGAGAGCCCCGCTCGACTCCTCTGGGTCACTGTCAGCACTCAGCTTTGAAAGGAGAAACGCCTGTCAGAGCTTCGCCGCTTCTTCCATGGCACCTTGGCGTTGCCACGGAAGCCACAAAATGCTCCGTGTGGAAGATTTCTGGAATCAAGTGAACTTAGCTCTTGGGTTTGGATGGTTTGAGACTGTCATGATGCGGTGGATCCAAGTAAGATCGAGTCATCTCCATGTGCGGGTTCGGCGTCTGCATCCTGTAGTGGTTGCTTGATCGTGCGTGTGTGCGTGAGTGGGTTGCGTGCTTTTTGTTGAGCGATGGGAATGGATTGTGCTTATACAGGCTCGTGTGTCGCCTTAGACGCAGCCCGGAAATCGTGCAAATCGGAGGCCAACTCACTGCGGAGGATCGAGCAGAGGTCATCAAGTTCCTTACCGTAGCCCGGTTCAAGAAGCCAAGGAATGGGGACTTAAGGGCCAACTTCGAGGGGGCTATTGCGTCCTCACAGCTTCTTAGGCGCAGTCCTTCGTTCTGGGACTGTAGCTAGTGCTGGGCTTTGCCTGCCGATGCCTCGGCCTAGCGCCCGTAGCTTAAGCTCTGGATCGTCTGGATCTGGTTGTGCCTACGCTTCCTTGCGATTCGGAGCACCCACTGTATGGTTGGCCGGACGTCGTCTCAGAAGATCAGCCGTGCTCCTCATTGAGGAGCGAGTTTTTGTTTAGTCTGTTTGGGTTCTAGACACGGATTCCAGCTTGATGGCTAGCGAAGTTCGGGTCGTATCCTTTTAGTCTTTGTTTGTTAGCGGTCCTGGTCTTCAGAAAAAGCAGGATAGTCCCGCCATTCTTTCCTTGCTTGATTGCCTCTTGCATGAACCCTGTTGGCCCATGGAGCTTGAAGGGTTGAAGCCCCTGGAAATGCAAGAAGCCCTCACGCACGATAAGCTTTTGGGGCTTGAAAAGCGGCACCAGGTCATCAACACCGAGATCATCGCTGCGAAGGCAATGTTCCTGGCATATTCGGATCCTTTTGAGAAGTACCGGGCATTGCTGTTTGAGCAACTTGGCCTCAGGATTCGAGGGTGACAGAGGCTCTGTCAATGGCCATGAAGTATGCCCCTCACGCACGTCACGCACTCCGACAACGCGCAAAAGACTCGCCCCCCCCCTCCTTCTCTTACATAAAGTTGGGTACAGGTTCTATCCGAGGACCAATCCTGAACCTAGACCCCTGCTAAGCCTGACCGAGATTCCGAAAAGTTTTGCTCACCTTGATGCCCTATCTCTCAGGTATGCCCATACCTTGGGCCATGGTGTGGAGGCCTGGAGTGAACCCCAGCTATCCTCAACTGTCAGATCAATCCATGCAGCAAGACTGCTTCTGAGAGCCATAAACGCGACAAATGCCCCAAACACCCTCTTGTCCGGTAGAGGCCTTCATGAACGGTCTCTACCGCCGAGCAACAGCTTGCGGCCTTGCGTCTTGGCATGTCAATAATAATTTAGAGGGGACAACGTGTCGGCCCTCTGCGTTTCGGGATTCAGGGTTTGGGGCGGGTTTGGGGCAGGTTTGAGATGAGACATGGACTGAGGACTACTCTGAGGCGTTCCGCCTCCACGGCCGGGCACCAAGAAGGGGGAGGGCCGGGGCCCGGGAGTGTTGGCACACGAGGTCCAGTCTGCGGCGGGTCCAGTGTTTTGATATGTTTTGATCCGTTGCCAGAAGGCTACCACACAAAAGAGAGGCTCAGTTGACGTTCTATGCCCCTCCTGATGGGGTTTAGGCAACTGCGGAGTTGAGCCGGGGAGCGCTGTGATTATGCAAGAATAGACAGAAATCGGTTTGCACCACACCTCTCGGACTCCGATGTCACAGCCGATGTCACAGACCCCCGGCTATCCTAGCAGAGGGCGCTACAAACTCTATGTCAACGTTTTTTCAGAGGAACGAGGGTTTACGGCGTGTAGGGCGTGTAGGGCGAGTGCTCGAGGCCAATGTGTCGGCATGGCCGTACTGTGGGCTGGTGAGATGTCCAAGCAGCAGGGCCTCCTGGACGGCGACGGTTTCCTTGCACACCAGGGCCTGCCGCTCGACTTCCTGAGGCCAAAAGCACGTGCAAAACGACTGAGAACCTTAAGCCTGACGCAAACCCCTTCCAGAACGATGAGTCGAGGTTTTGGCAGTTGCCAGACCGAACCCCTGAGCATCCTCCTGAGGTTGTACACCTTCAACCGTTTTGGGGGTTACGACTTCGCTCCCCTGCAGCCTGGCTTCAATGGATTTTGGGGGTGTTTGGGATATGTTGGGAGTGTCGTGAAGTTCAGCGCTTCGCGAGTGCTGCATGGTTTCACGTTTCGGAGTTTGGGGTAGTGGACCTCCCCAGCCTCGCATCACCCCTCCAAAACAGCCACACCTCCTTGCCCAGGCGTCGCCTCTGCGATCAGCTCGAGGTGTCAAAGGACGAGTTCTGCGAAGGAGTCTTGCAGGTGGCTTGGGAGCTTGGTCACTTCGGGCGCGCACTTCACCACTTGAAAGGATCGGGGTACGCTTGCCGGTTGAAGGGGTACTGTAAGGGCGTCAGGATACACACTCAGCATAATTTTCGGGGTTGAGTTCCGCAGAACTGTTGCAGAATTGCTTGATGGGTGAACGTTTGGCATTTCTTTGAGCTTCGTGGCTTTCGCCAGCTTAAGCTTCGCCAGCTTAAGCCACAGCGAAATTCCAAGACAGTTGTTTATTTTCGGGGTTTGGCTTTGATTATGGCTTCGTAGCGGACCCTCTTCTGCAGCTGGAGACCAAATCAGAGATCGGATGGCGAGGTTGTTAGGCGGGACAACAAGCGTGGCTACTGCAAGTGCAGCGCTGCCACTTGGCCTATGAGTTGTGTGTATGGTGTGTATGGTGGGGTTCAGGACTTGGGCTAGGGCTAGGGGTTGATGCGGTTTTGGGTTTCTGAGAGTTCACAGGCGCAAGATGCAAGTGACCTGAATGCAGGGCCTGTAGGAATCCGTTTCGGTCCGGTCCAGCCTTAGGACTGGGGATTCCTTATTTTGGGAATCCAAGCGCCACCCTCCGTCCTTCCCAAGCATGGTTGACAGACGTGACAGAAGCGAAATCGAATCTCGAGCAGCGCCCCAAGGTCCAGAATCAAGAGCCCGTGAACACATGCCAAGCCCGCCAAGGGGACCCCTAAACAAGAATTGAACTTGCAAGACCCTACAATCGTGCAGGTCATAAAGTGGGGTATGTGGCTTGATGTGCGGAGGGGTGGGGTAGGGGGGGGGGGGAAAGCTTGTTCGAAAGGACACTTGGGAAGACCGCTAGTTTGCTGAACAGGACAGCAGCGTGGACCAGCTGGTGCGAGAAAGACCCGGCTGTCTGCTTCGTAGCTCGGATCCGGACGCCGAGCTCAGATACCTCGTGGAGGCTATCTTGATTTCTGACAGTTGTCCCGGGCTTTGCTTTCGGAGCCTACTGTAGTACTGATTCGGAGGTATAGCATCCCCTGTCGCGAGATGAATCGTCTGGATCAACCTCCGGGTCCCTGCGAATTGTCTTCAACAGCTCGAAACATCAGACATGACATACCCGGCAGAGTAGGAGTCTGATGGTGATCGCTCGGCCATTTAGGGTTTTTCCCCGCCTGCAATGAATGTTGAGGCTGATGACTTGCTAACAACACCTCGACCCTCACGGAGCCCCCCCCCCCCCCTTATGCATTGACACCCCACATTGGGCCTCAAGTTCTCAATTTTTGGGGGATCCCTGCACAAAAATCAAAGCGCGAACCAGCTGCCAGGTCTCCGAAGACTCACAGACATCTGGCTGATCTTTGGACATTTGGAGGGCCTGCAGATCCGGATGAACCTAGGAGGTTGCTGAGCGTGGCCAAGTTCATGCCCTGAATCTGTTTCGTCCTAACCATCGAGACTGAGGCGCGAAGTGCTCGAGAGGGCATATGATTGTGCCTCGGCAGTCTAGGGGCCCTCTCTTGCCAGCTCCCTCGACTTTTATTGTTTCTGGGCGATCTTTTTAACACTCTCAAGTGGAGTCGAGTCTAAGACAGCCCAAGAGATTTGGCTGGGCCAACTCTGCAGTCCTTCGACAGAACGGTGGGGCCACAGCAGCATGCAGCAACACTTCCTAAACTCCTAAAGGGGTTCCAGGGCTTTCTCATCTTGACGCCACGAGTCCTGGTAGGCGGGTGTGCTAAAGTCAGGCGTGCAAGATCAATGCCTCATTTGCAAGATGTTCTCGCAAAGCAGCAAAGACGCGCAACGAGCCGGAAAGATCTCCGGAATGCATGCTTGAAACTGAGCCGAATCAAAGCACGGCAAACGTGTGGCAAACCTACGCATCCAGGCCTGGTCCTATGCCCCCAATCCCAGGTGAGTTCGACAAAGTGGCCGTCCTGAAGGGTAACCAGCTGCACCTGGTGCCAAATTCAGGCAGCCTGGAGCTCAGGTGTTCAGGGTTTGCAGGGTGAAGCCATACGATGTACTGAGCCAGAGCTGCCATGTCCCGCAAGTATCCGCAAGTCTTACAGTGCTAGTAACTTCTTCCGTGCAGGCCGCACACCGTTGAGAGTTTCAGCTTCTCACAGCTTCAACGTCTATCATTTGGATGACCTCTATCCATTATTAGCTCATACAGCTGCTCTCAACTACAGCTGATAGTCGTTGCTTCAGTTCAAAGGACGAGCCCTGCACAGCAACAAGATAAGCACTCTTTCACGAATGTTTGCCACCCAAAACGCGGATATGCGCAGATTGCGCAGGCAGGGAGATAGTCTTGTGCATCGGCATGACTGTATATATAAAAGCAGAAGAGGAATATTCATTGTTTGTACTTCTGAAGTTTGTATCAGCATCCGTTCATGTTCGCCTGCAGCGCGGTTGCTGTTGGTCTGGTTGCTTTTTTATTTATGCTTTTTGTTATGGGAATTGAATTCGTCTTGCTGCTGCTGCAGCTGCCCGCTGCCGCTACCGCCTGTTGTTGCTCTTGTTGCTGTTGTGTCTGTTGTTGCTGATTTCGCTGTCGTCGCTGTCGTTGCCGCTGCTGTTGTGAGAGGGTGCTCAGAATCTCCAGAGCGGACGAACTGGGAGGTCTATTGAGTTAATCCGGAGCCTGTCATCCTGGCAAATATCCCACGCATTCGTCCCGACGTCCCTGTATTTCCATTCAATCCCAAACCCCCGAACCCTAAACCCCAAACCCTAAATTCCTAATATTCCTAAACCCCATCACCAGGCCTAGAGGCCGACCAGACGAAGACTGCGTCGGCATTGCGTGGGCTCATCGCCACAGGGCGCAAGATTTGCGGCGGTGTTATGGCCAGGAGAGACTATATTTCCCAGGCATTCTAAGATTCTGGGATTAGGGCTTCAGGAAAACACCTCAAGACTTTCAGTTTAGTTCTTCAAGGCATTGATGCTGGACCGTCGATTGAGAAAGGGTTTCCGATACTAGCATAAGTTGGCTCTGCTGCGCTTCTTGCTACTGAGCTGCTTTAAGGTTTGAGCCTTTCTTGCAGGTTCCCGTCGTTTCTCGAATTTTCCCACGGTTGCCTCGCAAGGAATTGCAATTGAGTCGTTGTTCAGTGCCGGGACTAAAGGTGAAGCATCGACAGACGATTTCCGCATGCCCATGTGGAGCCCACACGCTTGTCCATGTGTCTAAAGTTGACGTGCCCAAAGCCACTGAAGCTTCCAGCTTGAGGATAGTTGTCGAGACTAGGAGATGCAGCGCTACCCACTTAAGATCTGTAAAGTTTCCCATGCTTTTGGGCTTGTATAGTCTTTTTCTGGTACAACCTACCAACAGGGGGAAGAACAAAGCAGAGCTTGTGATCTCAGGCCAGCCTCTACAGAGAGGACTAACCATGCCTCCCTGCGGAGAATCATGGTCATGGGAGTCATGGGCACGAGTCGGGTCGAGATCTCAAGCCGTCTAAAAGCCGTCTTTGGGTTTGCGTAAAGAGCCCACAGTGCCCACACTTGTCTTCTTCAGCTCAGACCCCAATGCCCATCCAGGGGCGCAGGGCTTTGCCTTAACGGGCTTGGGGTTGTTGAGCTGAAGCATGTTTACATGTGTGTGGGGTTTGGCTATGAAGGTTTCCAAAGCTTCGCCAGGCTTTGCCGACAGCCGGAATCTTTCTGCCTGCCTTGGGTTGAAAGAACTTGAAAGAACTGTGCCAGCACCGTGTGGTAGCAGAATCCGTTTTGCTGGGGTCCTTGGGGTGAGCAATTGCCACAGCCAAGGGTGCCTCGGGTGCCCATACTCTGAGGGCCTCCTTCCAAATATAATATACCGACACAGCGGTTCTTGTAGATTAGTCAGGGCTTGCGCGCTTGCGCGGGACACAGAGGCTGCCGGATGTTGTTTTTTGACCACTGTTGTGGATGCTGCTTTCAGCACGCCTTAGAAGTCAGCAATCCTTTTCAAGCCTTGGAAACCTAGGTGTTGCCCAGCCAAACAATAACTGTTGGCCATGGTACGTACTGTACATATGTGTATATACATCCACGTATCTACATACACATGCTTTAGTTTGCCCCCTGTTGATCCACCATGTTCGGCTTCTGAATGGCCCCGTAACTTGAAGAACAGTTTAACCATATCAAGCGTAAAATCAACTTCAGGATGCTACTATTTTGGGTTGTGGTTGGACACAAATATGCACAACTAGGGGCCGGTATTTCTGAAAACAGCTCATAGCTTAGCAGATGATTCACATTCTACTCAGCTTATCATAGCATGTGCCAGAAATGTGTATGGCACGGGGGGATTTCTCGCAGTTTGATGTATTGATAGCAAATGGCGCCTAGTTTACAAAGTATTTTCATGATATCTCTCCCAGAATAATTCTTTGATAATGTTGATTGCCCCTGCCGTAAACCTCGAACCACTTCACGATTTTGAATCAGTTGGAGATCAGTTTATAGTTGAAGCCACAAAAGCTAACCCAAGTACATTAGAGGACCCAATTCCCGTTTCAGCGCAGGATGGATCAAAGCGGGAAGTCAGAGTCTGCATTTCGAAGGGCATTCGTCTCATCGGTTGCTTTCAGCTGTCCTTCGTTCACCTCGTTTCCCTCAACGGTTATTTCAGTAGTATCGTTCGGCCCCCCAGTTTTGTTAGTCAAGTGCATGAGGGGTTCCACATTCTTAACGTGGTGCCTCTAGAAGTTTTGTTCACGTAGCACACGAAAGTACGGTTTGGTTTGACAGCCGTGTTTGTGTTCTTGCCCCTAGTACTACTGCAATGAATGAGACATGACTTGCCCCAAATGTCCTGATAATTGGTTGAATTGAATTGCCAAGGGCCTTGAAAAGCTTCATGATGTTCAACACTTTGTTTGAAACATGCATGCTCAGGATTTGTTTTCTTAAACACTGCGAACGGCTTCTAGCTTATCAAGAACATGTTCATTGACTTAAACACAATTGTCAGCTTCGTTCTGTTGATTTCGCAAGCTCCCAAAGATTTAAATTGTAAACCCCTTCACTCATTCGACTAACATGATCGGAGGTCAGTTAAATCACCTAATTTACTCATAGACGTATCCGGTCGCCTTATTCGATGCTCAAATCATACTGCAGGGTTAATCAGCGTTAATGGGTTGAAGGGGGATTTCGCACCAAAATAGTCATGCTGCGTAGGCTTGCCTCATTCTTCTATATGTGGCTTATTTATTGAGGTGCACGTCTTTAACATGCTTGCTGCAGATATGCAAAAAATAACAAGACACCCTAAACCCCAAACCGTAAACCCACTCAAGGGACCCTAACTAAAGCAATGTTTTGGGAGCCATTCCGGCAATAACACATTGGGGTTCCTTTTGGGAATGCTCGGAGAATGTCCTTCCTCATCTCCGAGTCGCCGAAATCGGTAATGCACATGCAACGGAAAGCTTGTTAGAAAGCGAAGTGATTCAAAGCTAGAAAAAGTTGTTCTGGACTTGTCGGCTTGAGGAAAAACATTTCAGCCATATTCAACAACATTCAAATTTGCTCAAGTCATAGATTCCAGACAGCCTTTCTTCCGTGGGAATCTTCAATCTTCGGTTTCAACAAAAGCAACTTTGATTTTGTTGAAGTTTTTTAGTCTTTTCAATGTCATCCCTAAACTTGCGCCCCTGGATGCCCGACTCCGTCATCGGCTTGCTGAGCCCATGCCTGATCAAGACAAAATATCCGTGCCTGATGCGAGGCAAAATGAACAAAACATCGAAAACTGTGGATCAATGAGGGGGGCTACCATACATGCATACATACATGTGTCTACAGACTTTTTGATTCAGTAGGTTAGCCAGCCATTATAGAAGCATCATCACGGCACTCGGCGGTCTTTCCCGAGCCTCACCGGGTCCCGTGACCCGAATTAGGTGCTCAAAGGCCCCGCACGTCATGTGCGGCCGCCATTTAATCATCATGCCGCATGCCGTAGGCATCAGGTTGGATGTCTTTTCTCCCAGCAATGTGCTCGGATCAAAAATCTCCGACCAGTCCATGCACAGCTCAAGAGTTGAGACAAGCTGATCACCATCTGGTACGAGCTCTTCTCAGCTCAATTGAGTGAGACTATAGGTCTAAATCCCACTTTGTACAGCTCTCCAACATGCTCCAGAGACTTCAAAGACTGATGCGAGCGCTTGGATTTCAGGAAAATCGTCCCCGCGTTGCGGCTCTTGCTTGCGGTGGGGTTGATAAAGGTTTGGAGAAGCGCGGAAGCCGCAATCTTGCCGGAGCTGAAATGACGGGGGGTGCTACTAGCCGACATGCCACAAAAGTTCCACCGGCAGGTCAAAATTGGTTGCTGCTCCGACATGCAACAGAAACAAAGTCGTTGACATGGAACAGCCGATCCGACGACATGGAAAGAAACTTGCGACGACAGGCAAAAACCGCCCCACAGAGATGTCGTTTGGGGTGCTGCTTTTTGTTTATTGGGGGGGGGGGAGGGGGTGGAGGGAGGCCTTGCTTTTCATGTCTAGTCTAGTTCCAATTCTTTCAGTTTTCTGTGATTTTTCGTTTTGCGCCTTGGACTTGCCAGATGTCGGCCCGCCGGGCGAAATCGACTACGAAACATAACTCAGCCTCTCTCATGATCTGCACATCGGCTTAAGCATGCAGCAGAGTTGTCAGAAGGGGTACCTGTTTGCGTAGACGTTGTGTGCTTTTGCATGGCGTAGTGCATATGAGCGCGCTTGCGTCCCAAAAGTTGCTCCCACACATCGTGTTCAATTGCAGTCTGTGAATGATTTTTTTGCCCCTTACACAGGCATCTGCATTGCTCTGTAATTGTCGTCGTCTGAACAAGCTCATGAAGGTTTCCATTTTGACGCTATGGGCCTGGCAGGCAAGGTCAGTTCATGGTGTCTCTTTGATGTTGATTCTCTGATAGATGGACACCTCAAAGAGGCACCTGTGCTCTCAGAGCTGCAGCCAAGGTTGGATAGGTTGAACGAAAGGGGCCCAGAAGAAAAGGGCTGAGTGACTGAGTGGGGTTGTCACCGGGGTTTCTGCAAAAAACTTCCGCAGTGCAGGCAACATCTCTGCGCCAGACGACCCAATCCTCGGGCGCCTGCGATTCGTGGTTCTCTCGTCAGTGCTGTACCCCTCGTTGTGATGGACAACGTGGAGAAATTGACAGAGGTTCCAACGTGGAGGGCTTTGAGCTCTATGACTGCAAGGTCAAGGAGGGGGCCTATCCCAAGCCCAAAAGGACCTATGGCGCCTACAACCGGGATGGCCAGCCGATCACCTCTGCAGAGATGAACGACTACATCTTTCAGTTTCGCTCCGTAAAGGTCTTGCCTCAGATCCCCTCGTCCAGCTATGTCTGCGAAGAAGAATGTTCCATCCGCCACCCCAAGGACCGGCGAACCAAGGCGTCCGGCACACGCAGCATCAAAGTCTACAGGGCTGGAAAAGTTCAACCAGGCGGGGTCAAGGGGAGACTGCAGTGACGCATGTGTTGCATACGTACGTATGTGCGTATGTACATATGTACGTATATGTACGTACATGTACGTATGTATGTATGCATGCACGTATGTATGTATGCACGTATGCATGTATGCACGTATGCATGTTTTTTCTACATATATAAATATGTATATATATATATACTGCCGAATCAGATCCCAAGTCCACCACAAGGAGAGGAATGGACGTGTTCGCAGCAATTCTGGGAGTGGTATCTTAGGACACTTGTGCATCAAGAACTTGGTGATTCCAAGTTTCGAGCACAGTTTTCAAGAACGACCGCCGGCTCTTTATCAGAAAGCCGGCTGTTCTGAGGCGAGCCTGCCAAACAAACCGGGCTTGGCTGCATGGACCTACCGCCCTTGCTGGCGATGTCCATTTTGCACAAGGGGTTGCCCAGACTGTTTTACGGTGAGGGAAAGTTTGTGATGGGCTTTGCGGAGGCCTGCGTGAGCCTCCCCGCAAAGATACTTAAAACTCACCCATGGCAGGCTGATGCCTAGGTCAAAACAGCAATATTTGATGCGTCTGCACGCGTCAATAAGGCTTGCATGGTTAAGTGGACCCATATTGAAGACGCCTAGCTGCGAACAGCGGCCGCTACCAAAATTGTTGGCAGATGTGAACGCAACACCCACACGATCTACATAAACTCGGGCTCCTGGCCCGTTTTATCGGGTTTATGGGGTAGAGGGTTTATAGGGTTTATAGAGGGTTCAGGCTTTACAGGATTTCTGGGGTCTATAGAGGGTTTTATAGGGTTTAGATAGGGTTCAAGGTTTATAAGGGGTTTAGATAGGGTTTAGATAGGGTTTAGATAGGGTTTGTGGGTTTATAGGGTTTATAGAGGGTTCAGGGTTTATAGGCTTTATGGGGTTTATGGAGGCTTTTTTTCGAAGGGTTTGTAAGGTGTAGAGGGTTTACGGATAGAGTTATAGCCTTTGTAGGGTTTATAGGCCGTATAGATGGTTTATGGGGTCTATAGCGGGTTCGGGGTTTACAGGATTTATAGTGTTTATGGGGTATATAGAGTGCATATGGTTTTAGGGTTCACGGCGTTTGTAGGGTTTAGAGGGTTTATGGGATTTAAAGGGAATGTAGGGTTTGTAGGATTATAGGCTTTGTAGGGTTTATAGGGTTTAGAGGCCTTCTTGGGTTTACAGACAGTTTAGAGGGTTTCTAGTGTTTACAGGGGTACAAGAGGGTGTGCAGACGGCCAAGAGCTCACTCGCACCTCCCACCACAGGAGCCTAAACCACACAACAACCCTTAAACTTACACCCTCTACCCTCAACCCTGCTTAAAGGCACCTGCCACCTCACTCACTCTGTTGCTTTGAAGTAAGCGCGCATCATGGTCGACTGCTCAGCGGCGCCCACCGAGGGAACCGAGAAATCACATCTACATATACATATGCATGTTTATGTTCCGGATTATTCAGTCTTGTGCTGCGTGCATGTTCTAGTTGCGTAACCTCAACCATGGGCCAACATGGCGGACATGGCCTTGCAACCATCCCCGATGTTCCAGGTCAGAACGAGACCGCGTACTGCGCTTCCAAATATGATCGTTTGAAGCCTGTGGACGACGTGGGGGAGGTGAGGCGGGCAGTGGAGGAGAGCAGGAAGCGGAAGCGTTGGTTCAAGAATCCGTTCAGTTAGTGGGCCACGTGCTCACTTGAGATGTCTCCGACTCAGCTGGCACTGGGGACTCCATTTCCGAAGCTGTGGAAGACAGGCGCAAAGCCCTTCTAAAATTGGCCATTGCAAGGTTCAGGGTTTTGGGCTGTTAGTAAAATACTTTTCTCTCAGGCAGAATCAGCAAATTCACAAGATGACGGGATTGTGAAGCAACAGGAACCCCAACCCCTTAACCCCTTCCCAAGTGCATGTAAGGCCAAAGCATGACATATGCTGTTGCGTGACTCTTGGTAGAATTGGGGCGTTTGGATTAAATGGCAAAATTCATTGAGATTCTTATATTGATATCTAGCATATCCTTAGATAATTTTTCATATTCCGAATCCTAAATTTGCGCTTTGAAATTTGAATCGAGAACCTTATATCTTGAATCTTTCCGATAAAAGATATTATATGATTATTTCGAATTATCAAATTGGGCATGATTAGCGAATATTTCCGACAAATTCATAAGAGATCTTCGATAAAGAAAAATCATTATTATTTATATTTGTATCTTGATATTCGTAGATAATATGAAAATTTCCTCTCTAAATCTAGGATTTTTTTGGGCCATTCGGATATATGATCTTGATTTTCTTGATTTTATTTGGTATCGAATATAAATTTATGTTATATCTATGGGAAATCTATATATAAAATTATTATCTTCAGGTCTTCTCAGATTGAAGAAAGAGGTTAATAAGAATTATGAATCGTAGGAGAAGATATAAGTGGTATTGTATATATATATATATTGATTGGATATAGGGGGATTGGATACAAGTTTCATTCCCAATCTATTTTACTTTGAAGCTAGAGGTAGCATGAAGAATTCCAATTGGTATATTTCTAATTGGTGCTTTTGGGCGTAGAAGTCGCTTGCACCGATGATTGATTGGATATTTGAAATAATATTGGAATCTTATTCTATATTAATATCTTTTTTTAATGAACCATTGAAAATTTCTTATTGAAAAAATTGAAACTTCAATATTCATTCATTTCTGATCTTTTATGGGAATTTGGAATGCTTCAAAATTCAAGATCCAAAATCGAATCTACTGAATTCATTATTGATTATCATCTCCAATTTTGCGAAGATGAATTAATATTGATTAGGAATTCTTGAAATTTTCGAAATAGAGATTCTCGAATTGCTATTTAATTATCAAGAATTATCAAGAAATTCTTCTCTCAAGATCTCAAAAAATCGAAGAAGAGAATAGAAAGATTAATAATTATTAGAGAATCAAAATCTGATCATTTTTTTATTATAGAAATAATATTAATATATATCATATTCTCAATCTATATTGAAAATAAGCTCATTTTTGAAATTATATATCCCTTGTTCCCAAGATCTCTTGCTCATCAGGGACAAGAGACTTCTGCTTCCAAAAGCACCAATTAAGAAATGAAATGAAATCTGAATTTTTGATTCTTCTATTCTGAAATCGAGAGAATCCCATACTAGGGAAAAGAAAAACCACTCACGAAATCCCACAGTGAAACAAGCCACGCTTGGGCAATGCACCCGCCACCACCCCCTGAGGACCCAAATGGGAACATTGGAACATTTCTTTCGAGCCATGGGCCCCTTGTGGCGCTGACGCATCCTGGGCTGCCGCACGCGGCGATGCGCATGTGGTGCGTCCCCCTCTACCGCGGGATGGAGGGGTTTTGGTGCGTGGGCTTGTTGTTCTTGTGCTTGGGATTGGGCATGTGGTGTGGGTTGTACATTAGGCAATTGTTCCAGGGTCTCGGGTCCTCCTGGGGTCTAAGAAGAAAGAGCCGATGTCGTCTCGTGGCAGTGGCAGGGATCGTTGCGTTTCTTCTATACCGTTGTAGGAGCGGAGATCCTAATGGGATGGATGTTGTCTCAGGGGGCCTTGTTGGGAGCGGGTTGATTCATGGATTTTCAGCAGGGAAGATACGGGCTCGGCGTCGGCTTGGCTGGCAATCTGCAGCTGCACTCTTCTACTTGCTTCACCTTAGATCTTGTGCTGTCTCAGTTAGTGGTTGCCGACAATCGCTGACCTCCGATGGGGGGACGAGGCCAAACCAAGGCGGCCATCTGAGTTGGATGTTTCGGCAAGCCGGGTTGGGATTTTTACGATAGCTTATTTCAATATAGCGATCGGTATCGTCATATGTCGATTGTCTTATGTATGCGGTATGTTTCTCTTTCACTTCTTTAGAACTTTTGGAGAACGTATTCGAATTTTCAAATTCAATCATATTCCTCTTGATGGAAAAGGATTAGTGCCTCCTTTCTATTTTGGAATCATGTATTGGAGTTTGCTGCAACAAGGAGATGTGCTGCGGGGGAGCTTGCTCATTTGTGACACTTGGGCACTATGGAACCGATATCATTGTTCGCTTGTGCTCTGCCGACTCATATTAGCCGGAGGCGCTTGGATATGTACTCATCATATGGGCGTCCTCGAAAGGTGCGTCGTTCTCAGCTTCGTGTGGTGGTTTCCTACGGATTCCTACGTATCCGAATGACGCAGGGTCAACGATGGAGGTTGAGTTTGGAGAGGGCCATAGTCGTGGGACTAGGCGTAGTGCCGCCGAAGCCTTGGGTCATGTGGAGGCCTCTGGAACGCAGGAATTGGGTGAGGATTCGGTTTCAATCATATTGTAAGAATTGATCGGGGAGGTCATCTCTCTTAGACAACTTTTGCTGGAGGAACAGGGCGCGGGGCGTGCCAAGGCGCCCCGTCAGCTTCTCTATTGTCCGGTAGATGGTTATTCTAGAAGCATCGGCGGAGGCGGGCCTGGATGGCGTAGCAATGACGCAGTTCGGGCCCACATTGATCTTCATCTTTCCGGGGAGTTAGAAGGACGACCATCTCAGCAATGGCTCCGGGATCGTAGGCTCGGTTGTTGTAGAGTCTGTGGGTTGACTACAAGTGTGCAACGTCACGAAGGGGTCCATTCTCGGTGCTGGCCCAAGCTCGTCACTACCAGTATAAGCGCAAGTGCCTCGTCAGAGGACCTCTCCCCACTCCCATCTTTGTAAGATATTTTCATCCAAGCAATCTTCACGAAGGAGGTCTATCCGAAGTCATTGGTTGCCATGGCGAGAGCAAACGAACCGATGGGACGCTTGGGCAATGGATTCAGATTCTCTTGAGAAGCAGGTTGCGTGTGTTGCTTGGCTTGAGCTACTCATATTTCCGAAGGTTGTGTTGCGTCAATTCGGAAGAGGTAAGCGACCCCGCCAATCTCTCCATTTCTCCCGCGCCCTTCTCATCCGTTGGAAATTAGGAGAAAGGGCTTCCCTTTGGTATGAAGCACTTCAAGCGAATCGACGCGCTCAGCCTCAAACGACCTCCGCAGGCCCTAAGCCCGAACAGACACAAAGAGATATTGAACGTATGGTCATGTTGGGCCGTTCTGGTCAGGCTCTTCAACGTCTTCTGTCCCCAGGACTCGCGCACGATACCCCAGCGGTACAGCTCAAATTGGCAAATAAGTTTCCCGATCCCTTGCAATCCCCTCGGCACCCTGCACTCGCGCCAGCAACTCCCCCAGAACTCCCCGAAGAAGTGGTCGCCCAGGCGTTGCGTTCATTCGAACGTGGGAAGGGGCCCGGGCCGGATGGTCTCCGGGCTGACTTTCTTCGACTCTTACTTGAAAGCCCTAAAAGCGATACTTTCTTAGGGGTTCTTAGGGATTTTGTCCAGCTTCTCGTTGATGGATGTGCGCCGCTCGAGCTTCGTCCATGGATAGGGGGTGGTACTCTCGTGGGCATAGGCAAAAGGGATGGGCAGGGGCAGGCCATACCGCTTTCCCAAGATGCTCGTCCGATTGTG